GTCGGCGCCCACAACAATGTCGATGCCCAGAGGCATGTGGGAGGAGCCTTACCGTATGGGAGTTAATGGCGCCTACAATACTGTAGGGGAAAATGTCGGCGCCTACAACACTACTTGAGCTCTGTTGTGCCAGGAAGGTTGTAGAGTACTGTTTCTATAGGTGTACATCGTACGGACCCTGGTATTGCGGTTTGACTTGTGCACCATGCCTTGCTTTCTCTGTTCGTTCCCTAGTCCTTACCGAGCGGGCGTACCCGGTCGGTTGGTTCTAGTTGGCTCTAATCGTGCCAGTCGGAGAAGAGCAGTGAGCAGGGGTTTGGCGCATCCCCGGCCGGAGATGCGGGTCAGAGTCAAAAGTAGTGCTTTGGCCAGGCCTTCCGGTCGGAGTGGCCGTCTGAAGGCAGGCTAGAGACTGAAGTGGTGGGCCAGAGTCAAAAACGGGCGCCGTTCCTCCTCGGCCAGGCCTTTCAGTCGGTGATTGGATCACCCTTCTAGCCTGTCGTTTAGGTACATGGGCCGGCCCATGAGTTGTGTGTTGTCTGCTTGGGCCGAGTCTCTGTTGGGAAGCCGGTCCATGAGGGACCCCGGGTTTATGAACCCAACACTATGAGACTGTGAATGGTTCAAAGATTCAAACTGCTGCTATCTATAAAATGTGTAAGAGTAAATTGTGTGCTAGATCTTCTACTGGCACTGGCCATTTGATTAGGCACCAGAAATCTTGTAGGAAAAAAGGCTGATCACGCTGCTAGGGTTCAGTCTAGGCTTTCTTTTAATCCTGATGGATCTGTGCATAACTGGGACTACAATCCTGCTGTTGCTCGATCTAAGTTATGTCGGTTGATTGCTAGGCTTGACCTTCCATTAGGTATAGGTGAGACACAGGCCTAGGAGGATTACATTGTTCTTGCTCATAACCCTAGGTTTGCCATTGTTCTTGTTCTGTTGCTTTGACTTCAGACATTTGGTCTGGTAATGCCAAGAAGGACTATATTAGTGTTGTTGCTCACTATGTGAATGTTGATTGAAAGTTATAGAAAAGGGTTATTGGTCTTAGGCTGATTGAGGTTAAACATTTTGGTAAAAACATTGCTGAAAGAATTGTTGTTGTGGTTGAGGAGTATTGTCTGATTGACAAGATTTTCTCTATCACTCTAGACAATGCTTCTTCTAATGCTAAAGCTATGAATACTTTGACACCTCTATTTGCTGGTTACTTGGGTACTGATCCTTCACCTGATCCTTTGGATCCTAGTAATCGTAAGTACAGTCTTGTACATCAACGTTGTGCTTGTCATATCATTAATCTCATTGTAAAATCTGGATGAAAGAGTTTGAAACCTTACACAGAAGATTTTAGAACTGCAATTAACTTCTTAAATTCCTCTAATCAAATAATTGCGTTGTTCAAGGAATATTGTAATGCTAAGGGTGTTAGACCTAGAAAGTTTGGCTTGGATATGAATGTTAGATGGAATTATACTTACCTGTTGCTTAAACACTTGCTTCCATACAAGAATGTCTTTTCTGTGTTCATTAATTCCCATTATGGTTCACAATTGTTGACTACAAATCATTGGTATTTTGCTGAGAAGTTATTGGAGTTCCTGAAACACTTCTATGACTCCACTGTTGTGCTGTCTGGTGTTTATTATCCTACAAGTCCACTTGTTCTGCACCATATCCTAGAGATTGCTTCTCATTTGCATGCATATGAAAAAGATCAAAATCCGAGAGCTATTGTATATCCTATGAAGCTTAAATTCCTTAAATATTGGTAGGACATACCTCTGCTATATTCATATGCATTCATTCTTGATCCTAGAGCTAAGATGAGAGATTTCTTTAATGTGCTGCAATTACTTAGTGAATACACTGGTTCTGAGTACAATTCATACTATGCTGATGTCAAAACTGAATTGTATAAACTATTTAATAAATATGAGAGCAAGTTTGGTGAAGCTAGGTCTCAAAGGGTTGCACAACCATCACATCATACAGGTAAGAAAAAGCAGGCATGTGGAAGAATCTTTGGCTATGGATCAGGTGTTGTTGGTCCTTCCCCTCTCCTTGCCACTTCATCTCCATCTACTTCCGCTGTTTGTGAGCTCTTAGCTTACTTAGATAGTGACAATGTCACTTCTTGTGAGGATGATTTTGACCTACTTCTATGGTGGTGTGACTACAAGCTAACATTTCCAATTCTGTCTATAATGGCAAGAGATATCATATCAGTTCTTGTATCTACTGTCTCTTCAGAGTCTTGTTTCAGTTTGATAGGTAGGATGAGGAACGGCGGTGGCGCTTGTCACTAGAGACTGTGGAGATGCTGACCTGCATAAAGGACTGGGAGTTAGGAGAAAAAAGAGAACAACATGTTGTTGACAACCAAGAGCTGGAAGACTCATTCCAGAACTTGTACCTTGATGAAGATGAAGCTACTGGTGGTGCTCCTGGTACTTAATGAGGTTGAGACTTGACTCTTGAGTGTGTGTGTGATCTGTGACTGTGAAAGAGTGAGTGTGACTGTGAAAGACTTGTCTATCATTTGAACAATGGTTTGTAAGACTTAATTAAGAGTTGGCTGCACTCTTTTTTCTTTTCTAGGGTTTCTCACAAGGGTGAGTTTTACCTAGAAAGGTTTTTAATGAGGTAGCATTGCACTAAATAGCTCATTTTGGTTATTTCTATTATCTGTTGGCTTCGAAGTTTGGAGTTTGATATCTCTGTTGGACTATGAATGTATCGGACATTTGGACTTTAATTCTGTGAATGTATGAAACTGTGATCTGTGAATGTATTGGACATTTTGATATTGATTATGTTTGATTCTTTGAATGCAAGGGTAATGGGTCGTGGGCTAGCATGGCCCGTAATTCTGGTCGTGCTTCGTGGAGCCGGCACGGCACGAAAAACGACCCATAGTACCGTGCCTAGGCCGAAGGCTAGGCCTGTGGTCCTAAGAAGCACGGCCCAAGAGGCCCGGCGTGCCGTGCCGGCCCGACCCCTATCGGGTCATGCTTTCACAGGCCCATGCCGTGCCGGGGTGGGCCGGCATGTTGGCCATCTATAATGTCAATCAATGAAAAAACAGTTTCAAAGATACTGCCTCGTCTAAAAAAAGGTACTCCTTGCATTCTATATTTTTTTCGATGAAATCCCTTCATTCTATATTATAAAAATATTTTGATTTTCAGGTATATTTTTATTATATATTAGACATAGTGTATGTCTAGGTACATAGATATAGTGTATATCAAGGTATATATCTCTACAACTAAAACATTCATAAGCCAGAGATCGTGCGAAGCCCATCGCTCCACAGATGAAAGGCGCCTCCACGTGGGACCGACAGCACACTTTAGGGAAGTCATTTCATAGAAAACCACGCCATTGATCTCGGGCAGCAAGTCACGCCCAGCCTTCCCTGCGCCGTGATCCACCTCGCCGACCCCTCCTCTCCCCTGCGACCCCTCCTCTCTCACGCCTAGCACCAGTGATTTGGGTTGCTCGTCTCGCTCCAATGAACCGCCACCGGACGACCTTGCCAAGCCACCGTCGCTGTGCCACTGCCGGACATGACGCGACGCCTTCGACCCCTGCGCTCGCGACCACAAAGCAGCCACATATCCGACGGCTCGCACGGCGATCCGACACAGCCTCGTCCGCCCCAAGCCCCAAGCCCGCGATCCGGCGTGGCCTCCTCCGACGTCGAGGCCATGATAGCCGGATGAGATATGAGAGTGGAGAGGGATCTAGAGGAGGTCTGCTGATATTGGCGAGGTGTTGTGCGGTTGAATCACATGGCACGGAGTCCACGACCAACGGCAGCAGCATCGACGGAGGACTGGTGTAGCTTGGTTCCGTGACGATGGAGGCAAGTGCTGACTCGCTCGCTCCTTCTGTATATATGCTTGATTGACACATATACCTACTTATGCAATTCCTAGATAGTTCCTTGATTCGCCCTTGCTTAGATGCTGCTGACATCTCGTAATTTGTTGTTCAGTCTACTTATGCAATTTCTAGATAGTTCCTTATTGGTTCGTTCTTGCTTAGATTCGAGTGTAGGTAATGTGTTTGAAAAATTCTCCTGACTCTTTTTGTTTTGATTCAGCCATATGCAGTCAGCTGGATTGTCGTAATCTCATAAATTATACAAGCTGTGTGATAGTATAGTTGGATCTAGGTTCGAAGATTTTGATTGATGCCATGTTGTTCTTCAATAGCTTTCTTCGGATAATACAACTTTCCCTGAACTCTTGTGGTACTCATTGTGACCAAGTTGTGATTGTTATTGGCAAGCAGGATCATGAAAATTGAATATACTGTGTGATTGATGAGTTGAACAGTATAGAACGTACTTACAAAATAGTTGATTGGTATACATACTTAGATAGCAAGGTGTAAAAATGCTACAACTTTCAGCATTTCTTGAACCATCATAGTTTTATGACACGTGTAAAAATATCATAAATTTTTAGTGTAGTTAAAGAATATTTTGACACTGCTTCATAATTTTCTGAGTTTAGTTATAGAATATTTTGATCTGCTTGCTTAATGAGATTGTTTATCGCTCTTTCGGTGCCAGTGATAAACTGCAAGTTTTCAATAGCAGTGGCAGTGCTCCCAGTACCTTGGTGTCAGTGGTAATGGTGTGCTCCCTGCTACACACTCTATATGACCTCCTCGCACGAGGTGGGGTTACAAATGCTCTGCTTTGCCGTGAATTTAGAAGTTATATACTCTGTGATCTGAAATCAAGCCGGCTGAACTTGATTGTCAAACTGACATGCAAGTTATAGACCGAGTGATATTTTTATTTTTGTTGAGCCATGTTGAGAATATATTCGGCTAGAACAGATAATCACAAACTTCATCTTCGACCGCATCCCGACGGACGATGGCATGCACAGCCCCTCCGTCCCGACCCCGGTGCTCAGATCTGCTAAGGAGGAGCGGCTCCAATGTGGCTGCTGGAGCGGGGCCTCGACACCGACATGACGACGAGGCCGCATCAGGCCATCACTCTCTCCCTCAGAGGCCTAGGGCTCCCGCACAAAGGTTTCCATTCGAGCAGGAGGACCACCACCATGGAGGATCTACATTCGAGCACTAGGATCAGCGTGGAGGTACTAACTCGCAATTATGTTTGTTACATACATAGACCATACCTAAGTCAACACTAATAAAAACTTTCGAAATACTATAGTCCCACTAATATTGTCATCACTTATAGCGATTAGATTTATGTACTAATGACTGGTGAAGATGTTGCATCATTGGGACCACAAGAAGTCACCAAGACCCATCAGTTGTTCGACTGGGCTAAGAAATCTGATAGGGGTTTGCTCCTCTTCATAAATGAAGCAAATGCTTTCTTGTGTGAGTAAGTGAATACAAAATCTCCAGATACTTTTCTTGTACCCATCTTTGATTCACATATCTGTTGATCTCCATTTTTTCAGTGAATGGTATCAATTAAAGAAGTATATAGTGTGAGCGCATGACTGTAGATCAAGCCTGAAGGAACAAATATATAGTGTAGAATATCTGTCCATTAGATCTGTTGCGATCATGTAATTGTGAAACAAAACTAATTTGTATATCTGTCTTCAATTAAAGGGAGAAGTCATTTTGCAGCCACTCAATTACCATCTCATGAGGTCATCACAGTAACATGGATCAATTTCACGGCGACTCGATTACCATCTCGTGAGATCATCATAGCAACATCAATGAATTTCACTTGGGCGAAACTGAGATATAAGGTGAGGGACTATGAGTCATCACAGTTTGTGTCACACTATTCATTTTTAGTTTATTTTCTAGCTTTGATGGTCACCAATTTAATAACACTGGTTGATTGTGTCTCATTAGCAATGCAACACCAAGAGATGGTCACAAAGTTATCTTTGCACCACAAAATGCATGTGGGAATTTGTGAAAGTAATACTTTTTTTTAAAGTAAAAAATGCATGTGGGAATGACATTTATCTATTTTTTGAACAATCTGATGTGACAGTCACAAAGCATCTACAACTGTTCGGTTGGCTGGTTCGTATCGTTGCTGGTTCGTGAAGAAGTACTGCTGGCTGGTTTGTGTGAGAGAAAAATGTTGTTCCGGCTGGAAATTTACGATCGTTTACGACAAGCCACAGCCAAACGAACAGGCTCCTAGTCACATAGACATGAACACAAATGCTACAATTTAGCTCTCGGTATCTAGACTTTATTTCCTCATAGTTTAGTAGACTTTTTTCTATGTTCATTCATTAAATTTGTCTATAGTAACTCAATTATATTATGAATATTGCCTGGTGGTAGGTTTGCGGCTATAGTCACAGTAGGTCATGAATTGTTTTTGTCTAATGCAGTGATTGTAACAACTCGGAGTTTCGCACAACCAAAAATACGAAGTTTTTTAAAATTTTCCCTGCAAATGTGTGGAACATGTAGTCGCTAGGTCAAACCTAAGTCAACCAAGGAGACGTGACTAATAAATTGGTGCACACATATAGATATGATTGTAGGAGAGTGCCCGTGTTCTTGAGTTGGTTTTGAGTTGAGTCTTGTTTGGAGTTTGGGGTGCACAAATCCGTAGTGAAATTCCTTTTAATCCCTTCTTGAATTCCCCTTTGGATTCCCTTTCAAATTCCCTGAGACCTAATTCATATAAATAGAAAAGTCCCTTTTCCTTTTCCCCTCAACTCTTCTATTTGAATTCCCTTCAAACCCCTTTTGAATCCCTCCCAAATTATCTCTAAGTCATAAAAGGGAAATCCTTTTCCTTTTACCCCATCTGGACCAGCCCTGCTCAACCACTCCCTTCCCGTTCTCGTCGGCCCAAGCCGCATCGCAAGCCCAGTGCGTCCCTCCCCCTCTTCTTGGCCACGCCTGGCCTGCCTCGTGCTTACTCCCGCGAAGGCCCACGCGCGCGCGGCCTAGCTTGCCTCCCGCCACGCAGCCCACGGCATAGCTCCGCACCACCGCCCCCGCAGGTCTAGCCGCCCTGCCCTGGGTTGAAACCCTAAGCGCGCGTTGCACGCTCGCGTCGCACCTAGGTCGCCGCCGCCGTTTCCATGGGTGCCCGTGACCGTACCCTGACGCCTCGACGTTCGTACTCCAAGCCCTAGATCAGCCGCCGCGTGTCTCGGCTGTTGAAAGCTCTAGTTTGGTTTTGGTGAATTGATGAAACCCTTAGTGCTAACCTAGTTACCAAAGTGATTATGAGATAGGTAGCACTACTCCAAGTGATGAAGCAAATGAAGATCATGACATGATGATGATGATGGCATGGTGATGATCAAATGCTTGGACTTGGAAAAGGGGAAAGAAAAACAAAAAGCTCAAGGCAAAGGTGAAATTATTAGGAGCTTTTTGGTTTAGTGATTGAGACACTTAGAGAGTGTGATCACATTTAGGATCATAGCCATACTATTAAGAGGGGTGAAACTCGTATCGAAATGCGGTTATCAAAGTGTCACTAGATGCTCTAACTCATTGCATATGCATTTAGGATCTAGTGGAAAGCTAACACCCATGAAAATGTTTATGAAAATATGCTAACACACATGCACAAAGGTGATACACATTGTGTTTAGCACTTGAGAGCAAGGGTTCGAAACTTCACATGCGGATAGTTCGATGGTGCCACCAGCGCCCTGTACAAAAAAGACAGGGTTTCACAGAGTGCACCGAACGCTGCCCTCGTGGGACCGGACACGTCCGGTGGCTAAACCTAGACATTGGTCAGTCAATAGAGACTGGCCGGACTCTGAGCTAGTCCGGTCATGTGTGATTGGACTCTAGAGAGCAGCGTCCGATCAATTATAAAAGAAAGTGGTACTCTCGGCCTGTGACCGGACTCTGGCTAAACACTATTCAGTGTTCGGTCCTGCTGATGTTGCGGTGCACAGAGAAGAGGGTAAGTGAATGAATGTTGGGTGAGTCCAGTTGGGTGTGACCGGACACGTCCGGTCGTGACTGGAACCTTACTGGAAGTGACCGAACGCTGGGGTCCCGTGTCCGGTCCTACACTGTAGAGCGTCCAGTCACAACTTAAGTGCACTGATGACCGTTAAGATTGGGCGATCAGCATTTGAAGCAGAGGCCACGTGGCGTGTATCGCGCGATCGAACGCTGGGGTCCTATGTCCGGTTGATCTAACCGGTGCGTCCGGTCGCCCCAATTTTTCAGTGAACAGAGCCAACGGCTCTATTTTGTGGGGGCTTCTATTTAAGCCCCATGGCCGGCTTAAGCTCACTCTCTTGGCAATTTGCATTGATATAGCAACCTTGTGAGCTTAGCCAAAGCCCTCCCACTCATCTCCATCATTGATTCATCATCTTTGTGAGATTGGGAGTGAATCCAAGTGCATTGCTTGAGTGTTTGCATCTAGAGGCACTTGGTGTTCGTATTTCGCTACGGGATTCGCTTGTTACTCTTGCTAGTTGATGCACCTAGATGGCTTAGAGCAGCGAGGATCGTCGAGCGGAGGTTGTTGATTGTCTCCGGCTCTAATCATGGTGATTGTGAGGGTTTCTTGACCTTTTCCCGGCGGAGAGCCAAAAGGTACTCTAGTAAATTGCTCGTGGTTTGTGTGATCCTCATCTTGTGTTGGTTGTGTGGCACCCTATTGAGGGTTTGGTGTGTGATGCCAATTAGCGCGTGAACCTCCAAGTGAGTGAATCACCACAACGAGGACTAGCTTGCCGGCAAGCAAGTGAACCTCGGTAAAAAATCATTGTGTCAACATTTGATTCTGAGGTTATTGGCATTCATTGGTATTCACTCTTGCGATTGATTGGTTCATTCCTCGACTTGATGGTATAACCATATTGCTCTCTCTCTTTACAATACCGCAAACTAATTGTCAAGCTCTTTAGTGTAACTAATCGTGAGAGTTTGTTAGTTTGGTTAGTGTGGCTCTTTAGTTAGCATTTGAGAGCATACTAACATAGTGTAGTCACATAGCCATTGTGTGGATAGAGACTAGAAAAACTAGAATTATGGTAGGTGGCTTGCATTTTTAGTAGGCTAGCGCAACACTCGCTTCGCCTCATATTTGTCTAACCGGTTTGCTAAGTGTTGTTGTAGAAATTTTAATAGGCTATTCACCCCCCCTCTAGCCATTAGGACCATACAGCCATCACATCGAATGGCACGACCACCGAGATGACCACGGGAACCCTAGCCTCCATGCCTATAAGAGGCCTAGCCACCGTCGCTCCCTTCTCCATTTCCCAGCGCCGCCGCCATCCTCTTCCCTCCTCTCCGCACGCCACCATGACCGAGCACCTCACCGACCTAGCACCGCGTAGACCACCCTGAGCTTCCCCATTGAGGCGCCATTCACCATCACTAGAGCGGCCAAGGCCATGTTGCGGAGAGCCACCTCGCCGCACAGGGGCCCGAGCCACCCTTCCCACCACGTGGCCTCGACGCGCTCCACTCCAAGCCCTTGTCGTCCTCACTGGCCAGCACCCGCCTCCACACCCGCAACCTAAGGCCACTGTCACCGTGAGCCTCTACTCTAGCCCTGCTCTTCCTCACCGAGCATCTCCTCAAGCCCACGCGTCCACCTCTTCTCCTCGCCATGCCGCAACAAAGCCAGGCCACACCTACTCGCCAACGATGCCCTGCTCATGACCGTGCCCACGACGCCATCCTCACAGTGACTCAGGATGCCTTCATCCAAGCTCACCATGGCCACCTCGATGACGGACATGGCAGCCATGCATAGGCACCCCCGTGCGAACGCACCTCATCGTCCAGGGCCGCGATGCCACCCACCGCACCTTCACCTCCGTTCTGTGGCACCTGCTCGCCACCTTCCACGACCTTCACCTCCTCTGCGTCATCCTTGCCATGCCATTGTAGAACCGACATGGCTGTGACACCATCGTCTAGCGTGCTCGCGACGTCATCGTCTAGCACGCCTACCTCGCCGCGCCTTTGCCATGTCCATGTTGCAGCACCTCCACCATGCTCTACTCCTCCAAGCCCGTCTCACCTTTCACTTCCTCGATGAGCAGCAGAGCATCATCGCGAGCTCCTTCACCTCTGTCCTGCAGCAACTGTGCTGCGCCGTCTTCACCACGCCATCGGACCCTTCACCAGTGTTGTTCCTAGATCACCGTCACCTCGCCGACCACAGCAGCCACTGTCGATGAGCCACCGTAAACCAAAGCCATTGCCTTTCTTCCTTCCCGTCGTGTTCCTGCCTAAGATCGGGCATCGTGCCAAGCTCTATGTCTTGTAGGAGGGCTGCGCCTTGCTTCTCCCTTGGCGTGGCTGCCTTAGCTATGTCCTCGATGTCCTGCAGTGCCCTTGCGCCTTCCAACTCGACCACCCACTAGGAGCAACAGCTGCCAGACCACACCGACCCGAC